TACATATACATATACACATACACATACATACACACACACACACACACATATATATATTTATATATATATAAAGAAAAAGCAGTTTCTATAGGGGTCAGGTGAGAAATTTCTTAATAAACACACCTGATATCTGTGATCCTCCTCAAAGAAAAAACACAGATATTAGACATCTGAATTGGGGGGGAAAAAACTTTGCAATGTTGGCTTTTCCTTGTATAGTATGTAAGGACCTCCTCCTTGAATTAATTTAAATGGGATCCTATAACTGGAAAAATGATATGCAAATTGCAAAACTATAGCTTGTTGATTTTTCATTTGCATATTAGAAACTTGGTTTCCTTTCTATATCTCAATAAATATGATAGTTTCAGATGTGTTGGGTCTCTGATGACATTCCTTTTGTTGCCCTTCCCGCTTCTTTAAGTGTCCCCTAACAGCTTAGTTCCAAGTTGGCATTTTCTTCTGCTACCCAATCAGAATTACTAGGAAGTGCTAGGAATAAAAGGCTATGCCTGTTCTGGTTCAGTAAACTCATCTGCTCATTAAATTAAAGAGAGTCATCTGCATTCCTCTGCTAATTAGACTGAAGAAAATTTCTTCAGGGAGACTTCAGTATCTTATAAATGCCGTTCTAATTAGAGTTACTGTCCATCTGAAAAGATGCTGTGATTGCACTGTTCCAGAATCCTGCGTGGAAAAAGAGCCCAACTGTGGAGCATGAATATCCTCTTTACAAGTCAAGACATTCACATTAGCTCCAAATTCAACAAATTACCCTCCTTACGCTGTAGCAGCTTGTTAGAACCATCAAGAATTGCCACTGCAAGATGGGCAGCCATATGAATAGATTAAAACAAATGAATAAATAATTCCACATTGCTGTGACATTTCACAGCTCAGGATGCACACTGTAGTCTTTGACTGAAGGGCTCCAACTACCTTTCAGCTGGGACACATGTTTTCTTTTTCTCATCTTGCTTGCTTTCTACTTTAGCGGTACAGGCAGTCCTTGATTTACGACCACAATTGGGACCAAAACTTCCATCGCTAAACCATGGTTGTTAAGCAAATCACTGTGGTCATCAAGCGAATCACGCAGTCATTAAGCGAATCCAGCCTTCCCCATTGACTTTGTTTATTGAAAGCCCCCTGGGAAGGTCACAAATGGCGATCACATGACCCTGGGATACTGCATCCATCATAAATACATGCCAATTGCCAAACACCCACATTTTGCTCACATGACTGTGGGGATGCTGTGATGGTCGTAAGTGCAAGGGCTGATTGTAAGTCACTTTTTTCACTGCCATCATAACTTCAGATGATTGTTAAATGAACGGTCATAAGTTGAGGACTACCTGTACTTTTCAAACCTGAGTTCCCCAACAAGAAATGCTACCAATATATCCACAGGTATTTTGTTGGCCTGACTGATTATCTTTAAAAATTGAGAGCTGGCTTACTGAAAAGCAGAGGGCCAGCATTGTCTTTATTTTCAAATTGGCCCCATAACCTTCCTTAGACATTTGAACTGATGGGCAGATGCTGCTCAGTACTTTGTTTGGAAGCATGTCTGCTTGACTGGAGAAGACACAAAGGTAAGCAGAGGTAATAAGAGGGAGGGGCTATAGAAAGTGGCAAGTAGCATTCTGATAAATCAATGCATTTTAAATGAATATGGCCTCTGCCTGGCTACATGGAAGCACCTACTTGAGCTCAGAAGCTAAAAAGAGTTGGCCCCAGTTAGAACTAACTATAGCATACATTGGGAAATTGAAAAAAATATCCTGAAAGAAGACTGTGGCAATCCTTAATCATATTGTTGCCTACAACATTGCAGTGATGTATCTTTACAAGTTACCAGGAACTGAGCTTGACTCAAAGGAGATATTACTTTTTTTAACATACCCCATGCAATCAGTTTATAAATGAACACTGCTTTCCCATCAGCAGCCAATTACAGAAACCCACTCACAATATCTAATTCTATCCAATGTACCACACATTTCCCATTTTTCACTAAAAATAGTCCTTCTCTTCCTTTCTTAGCTGCCCAACTCCAATGCTTCCCTATGCTCATATGTGTGTCTGTGTATTTGCAAACACTTTCCATTTTAATACTTGTTTCATCTAATGTTTTCCCAATGCTTGCAAACATAGATACTCAAGCTTAATAACTGCCCATCATTTAAGAAAGAGCTGGATTAACAAAAGTGCCTTTGTGAGTTATATATAGCTATTCCCCAAATTAGTGAAGCATCATTGCATCAATCTGCTCTCTGCATACCTCACATCAGTAAAAAAAATCCTGGCTCTTAAATGTAACCACCTACACGTGAGAGTCTGCATATGTGTATGAACAGAGGACATCTAATAATGATACCAAGAAAATTCTGTAAAGAGGGCAAAGGCCTCTTTACAGAATCTAAAAGTTGAAAAATGTTAAAATAAATAAATAAAAGGAAGGAGAAAAGAGGAATAAATGAGAGGGAGGGAGTACCTTTGCTCTTTCAAGCTGAATAGCTGCCTGCTGTTCTCTCTCTTGGCGGATGGCTTCCCTGTCCTCTTCCAGAGATACATCAGAATCTGATGGTCTGCTTGTATATGAATCTGCTGATCCCTACAAAGAGAAGGACATTATTAACAAAATGATGGATAGAATACATAAAGAAGCCAAATATGCAGGAAAAATTATCCAAGGTCAGGCATTTATTTTTAACTCCTTTTCAAAGTTATCTTTTATTTATGAAGTTGGCCCTTTTTTTCCTTCTAACAGAATAGCATA